TTTTTTTTTTTTTTTTTTTTTTTTTTTTTTTTTGGTTTTGCAGATCGAGAAGTGGTTTTGGTGTTTGAGGTGCTTGTGGAGCTTCTTTTTGAAGAATGGTGAACTGAATTTTTGACTTGGGATTTCCATTCCTATGAGGTGGAGTAGCTGTCGGGGACTCTTGGAATCAATATGATGGATCAGTTCATCAATTTTGTTATTCGGCCTCCTAGGTACTTTTTTTTTTCTGGTATGCCTTGTTGCTTTGCCGAGTTTTCGCTCTTTTTTTTTTTTTTTTTTCACTTCTTGCCAATTTCTTGAGCAATTTATCGAGCTGCTACTCAATTACGTGGCTTTAGTGTAGCCTCTAGTGAGCACAATTCTTCCGTTGAGTTCTTTGTTTGTTTCTGAGGTTTGTGAGCAGCGGAATTACTCCGATAAGTCAACTTTTGTCTTCATTTTTTCTTGATTGAGCCTCATATTTTTGCTGTACAGGGTGGATTATAACCCTGATCAATATTTATGGGAGAAAAATTTCACTCTCGCGGGTAGAGCATACAAACGGCAGGATTTGGAGGCAAGTATGGATGGAAAAATTCTTCCGTAAATTTTCCACTTTATTCTTGTTGCTGCCTGTTTAACACTTTTTTTCCCATTTATTTTATGATTTCTATTCCTCATATGTATTAATAATTTTTAGCAAACATGCAGCTAAGAAATTCAAGGGGCCATGCCTTGCAATGCAGTCATTATTTGCCTTCACCTATTCCTGAAGATACCCCTCTGCCATGTGTTATATATTGCCATGGTAACAGGTATTTACTCGCAGAATAATCTACTGTTGATAAACGTCCCTGAATCCTGATCATTCTCTGCATTGGAAGATCTCCCTGTTCAATTTCTTTTCCCTTGTAAAATTATTGTTGGACATGATTTTGACAACTTGTTCTGTTTTTACTCTTTGCGGTAATTCTATATGATTTGGACATTCTACGTTAAAAAATTCGTAACTGAGTTTGTTCTTGGGACAATGCTTCAGTGGATGTAGAGCAGATGCTAATGAGGCTGCTGTCATCCTACTTCCATCAAATATTACTGTTTTTACGCTTGATTTTTCGGGTTCAGGCTTATCTGATGGAGATTATGTCAGCCTTGGTTGGCATGAGGTATGTATCTATCAACTATACATCTTGGTTTCAGTTAATTGAGGTTCTGAATTTGAAATATCTTAAACTATGACTTCAATGATGCAAGAGAGATGACCTCAAGGTTGTGGTGACATACTTAAGAAGCAACAAACAAATATCCCGTATAGGTCTCTGGGGAAGATCCATGGGTGCTGTAACTAGGTATGTTGAGTCATATTCTTTGAAATGCTGTCATCACTATATTGTAGGCCTTGGTGCTTTAATTTGTCATGGAGTTGCTCTTAGAGCAAGGCTATGAAGTGTAATTTTTTAGGTGTATTGAGTTTAGTTTGTTCTCCATGTCCTTAATCTGTTCTGCCCTTATCTTTTGACCGACCAATGTACTGTACTCCTTAGCTGCTGCATACAAGTGGCTCAAACTTCTAGGTGAGGGGGGAGGGGAGTTAGATATGTGTAGGAATTCTGCAACTTCCCTCCAGTTTAATATAATTTAATTCCCGTAATGTTGTTTATTTTTAAATCGAAACCTTCAATTTGTAATACATCCTCATACTATTGATGAAGTTTCTGCCCACTAACAACCTTACTTTAGCAGATGCCCCCTCCCCCCATAGTAATGGAAAGTTTACTTGGTCTGATTAGAGAAAATGTTATTCATACTCTTATTCTTGGTTTTCTTGTTGCTAATAAGTTGTTCGATATTTAGACGTTCATGGGACTTGAGATTCTGGGTAGAGCTTTCAAACCACCGGGACCTTGCTTCTTTCAGCATCAATTTTAAGACAGAAGAAAGGCTAGCCAAGTCACTCAAGCTCCCCGGCTAAACTGTCCCATTTGAGACCTTGATTATCTGGTCCCAACTATATGGGCTCTACTAGGCTCTTGACAAGGGCCCAGCCATTGCCCTGGGCAAGGAACTCTTGTCCTTCTAGAGGAAACCCTTCTTTTTAAGGGAGATTTTGGGTCCCGATTTCTCAGTAGCAAAGTGTAGTCTTCTGATAGAGTGAGATTAAGTGGGTCACAATTCTGTTTTTTATTGGAATGTAGGATTGATGTTGGCCGTTTGTGGAGATAGTAAATGTTGGCTTCTTTTCATCAAACAAATACTTTCTCATTTTCTAAGGATATGGTTCAACTTACTGATAGAAACCATTCAAAATCTGCCTTAAGGTATGAAGTTTTAGCTATTCTGTTGATGCTACTAGCGGCGGGGATGGTTGGGTTGTC